ATCGATAGCTGATAATGTTATGAAATATTTTCATCTAAGTGTGTCGTGCACTCCAATGAAAAATCAAGGACCTATAGGACATATGAATGTGGCAAAAAATTATAAATAATATCCCCCAACACTTTCACGAAATAAAAATGAACCATATAATTACGTATCTCCGGATTCTAAACAATCGGTATTCATAAACAGATACTCGATATGGATCTCTTCTAATTAATCATTATCTTACAATCGTACACTTTCAATAATAATACGTAGTGTCTTTCATCATTTTCATTCTACGATTATTCTATTTCTCCCACAATAAAGGCAATTAATAATTAGCCTTACCACTTTGCATGTCCATCACCATATATCCTGCAAATCGAATGCCAAGTGCAACGGCCGCGTTATTTTCAAAGGAACTCGGGCATTGTCCATTATCGTAATCGAGCAATTCATAAACATATTCATAAACAGAGCGAGCGGCTTCTTGACCGAATTTCCCGATATGCCGATATGATCGCAAGCGAAGAAAATGTCGTCGTCCCCCCCCCGACTAGGCATCGGTCGTCCGAGCGACGGCCGACGGCATAACTCCAGCGCAGCCTCCTATCGATGATCGAAAGCACAAAGTCGAGATAATCAGCGGTCGCTCGTACTCACGTCTCTCATATTGTTGATACCTCGTGTCCTCTCGCTCTCGCTCTCGCTGTACCTCTCCTGCCCTCGCATTTCCTTCGTTTTCGTGGCGTCCACGTCGAGTAGTGGCTATGCTTGCGAACCAACGTTTCTTCTTTAGCTAAAAATAACGAGACGCCAAGCGAGGCGAGACGGCGAAATTTATTTTCAGTGAAGCCTGTCGCGTTATAGTATGGAGAAAAAAGTTTAATATGTAGCACGGTAGCGAGGGATCCCTGCCCGCACTCACAAGGGGTTGGCGGCGCCAGTGTCTTGGCCCTCGTAATTATGGTTCGCTCTCGCCTCTTTCTCCGTCTCGCGTCTTTTTGATAAAAAAGATGAATGCTGCGAGTGAGGCCAAAGTGACAGCTGCCCGCTTTTTGTGCGATTTCGAGCGAACTTTCGAGAGTACCCTTTTTAAAAGCCGGACGCTATGCTCTGCCCGAGCGATGTTATTCGCATCGGTGTCTTCTTTTTGACGTTTTTTTTTTACGCGCGACGACGTCGACGACGCGTCATTGAAATTCGAAAACGGTTCTTATTCCGCCGAGCTGTTGCACACCGGTGTCTTCGCTATCGGTTTCTATGAAAGCCTCGTTTATCAAAAATCCCTCCCCCCCCCCCCCCCCCCCCCCCCCCCCCCCCCACAACCTTTATTTGTTTGTTTCTTCGTTTGCTTCGTTCCGTTGTCGGGTGAAGAGGGACTAGAAGTACGGCGAAGCATTAACGCGCACTTCGCGATGCGTCAGGAGTGAATGTGTTGGAAAATATTCTCTTACCATTAATCAGCGAGATGACACCCAAGCCATTTCAAATTAAACGAGAGATTGAAGGGATTTTAAATGTCGGCATTAGTCGCTCAATTGTAACACTATTTTCATATTTAATTACATTTACAGTAACCGTTGAAGTGTAATTTCTGATAATTGCTCCTAAAATCCAAATTCTGAGTTGACGTATAATACCGTAGCGTTCCGTCCATTCCCGTTGAGTCTTTGCGAATTTTTATTCCACCTTAAACGCGAGCTATTTATACATTCCAGACGCTGGCTTCCTCGCACCTCCTATCCTTCTAGTCACCCACCCACCAACACGGATGCACGTACGTACATACGTAGGGTCTCTCTCTCTCTCTCTCTCTCTCTCTCTGTCTCGAATAATAAAATAATGGGGAGCGGGGTGGTGCTGATGGTAGCGGGAGGTTCGAGGAGGAGAAGAAGGAGGAAGGGTTGGATAGGTAGATCGGAAAGAGCCCCGTTACCGGCCTTATCGCGATGGTCCGCATTTATCGGGTTTGCAGCTAGTTGTTGCGAGGGGTAACAAGGCGCGCGAGTGCGCGTGTGCTATCTTTACGCCCTCGCGGCTCTATCGCCTCGCAGACGTCGCCGTCAGTCTTCGTTCCGTGAATGTGTCTAACGATCCGTCATCGCTCGGCCCGCCGCTCGACGGCACGCGGCCCGATATTTTCGTCGGACCGCGTTCCAGAAAGGGAGTAGTAGACGCGTGACGAGCTTTTCCCGCGAACAGTGCGCCCTACTGTGCGTCTGCTTTAACTTACTTTTCCCATTTCTGACCGAGGCTAGCGCACGCGCGCGCGCTTAATTTATAAGCGTGTACCAAAGGGTTACGTCTGCGCGTCAAATGCCGGTATTATTCGGATGAGGAAGTAAAAGTTCCCTATGCGTTAACGGCGTGGAAGTGCCGGCCGCCTTGGCGGGCCAACAGCGAAAACGAGCGAGAGAGACTGCGAAAGGTTATAAATACAATGGGTTCTTTGGATTAAGTGATTCTGTAAGCCTTACGAAATTAATGATCATTAGAAATTCAGGAGCAAAGAAACGAAGCAAATGTGTTTATACACGCAGGGACTAATTTCTTGTTGGTGTTGGATTATTTAGAGAGCTTGCACTCCTACGCTCAGCGACTTTTCACTTTCGCAGTAGTCGAGCGTTTCTAAAAAAGAAAAAGGCCAGCTTATTAATCCGGTACGTGTCTATTTTAATAATGCCCGCTGAATATTTGCCTTAGCTACGACAATATTTTCATAAGGTGCATGGTGCTATTATCAGAGAGAATTAAAACAATATTTTCATTGACTGAGTAAATACGGTTGTTGGTAACTTGAACTTAAGCTCCCCGATATTTTACACTAATCAACTATATTTATCATAGCTTTCCAAGCGTCGCTCTTTTAGCAAACTTAAATACACGACGATTGAAATTACATCTTCTAATAATAATTAATAGAGCCAGAAGCAATTAGTAGGCGTATCAAAATTATGAAGCATGATCGACGCGGTAAGTGTCTTTTAATGTAGCGAATAGTCGATGCGATGCAACATCGAAGATGCCGTACCCTAACGCGTATGGATATGATTTTTCATCTCTCAACCATAATCCATAATCCATTCGCCAGTCGTGTAAATTCATCGAAACAGTATACCCCATGATAGTTCGTTGTAAAAATCTCCACATTGAACAAGCACGTAGTTCTTGTGAAATTCAAGCAATGTGCGTCGCCCAATGGAGGAAAAAAGAGCGCCGGCACATCCGGGTACATCGTCGCTAAAGTCCGTGTGTGCAATAGGCCTGGACTTTTGATTGACAGCACCCCGGCGTCCGGCCAATTGCGAGCGACGAAATGTTAATGAGGCCCGCGCATTAGTCACAAGATCCTCTGTCGGGGCGCGACGTCCCTGGCCCCTTCGAGACCAGCTCCTCTCCCCCTCGGCCAATCGGATTTCACTCCTCGTCAGCTTCTGGATTACGGCGACACCGTCACCCCGCAGCGGTAACATCCGCTGACTCGCGACGTGTGAGTCCGCGGCCTTGCGTCTCAATCTGGTACGGGCTCGACAGAAATTTTGCATTCGGGACGGATAGAACGTTGTGTGAACCCAATTTATCTTTTATAAAGTGAAAAAGACGTTGGGGCTAAACCCCAACAGTTCAGCCCGATAGAATGCATAAGCGAGCGATAAATATTTTTCTGGCTTAAGCTCTCACTTGTATATTGCCGGAGAGAGGGTGGCGAGCGTGAAGATCGCGAAGTATTTTGAAGTAAGAGTAACGAAGCTTGCAGGGCAAAAAATGCGCTTGGATTTAGAATCACGTAAGTTGCTTCTTATCATTTTTAAATTTTAAATTCGATGACTAAATGAACCAGCAGACATTTTTTATTTTTATCATGTGCTCAATCATTGCGATATCAGACTGGATTTTTCTATATTCATAAGAATCATATATTCGTATGTTCTGCGAATGTCTCTATGAACTTGTCATTTCGCACTGCTAATCTGCGATTCAATGCTCATTATGGAAGTGGGATAGTCATAACGCTATTCGTAAGTTAAATTAACAATTACGATTAATTTAATTTTGTTTTTTTTTTTTTTTTGCTCAGCTAATTTTAATTGGAAGGAACAAACTCGAAATATTTATTTGTGGAGTGCTCATATTCTGCTGATGATTGATTGTCAGATGTGAAATTAATTACCGCAGTCTCACGATATTACAAGTTAAAAGTGCATTCTTCATTGAGGTGTTCTAAGCATAACTTGGCTACGGAGTCCCGGGGGAATAAACCGGAGAACTTGGTTACTCCAAAGCTGCTCTTGTTATCGCGTTGTCAAGTTTCTTACCGATAACAATTAGGTGTCCTTCCTATCGACACAAGATACAGCTGAGGTAGTGAGTAACTTATCACGAAACTTTCTACAAGGAGTCAAGTATCCATAGAACGTAGCCTTGTGTCTATATGATAGAAGCCAGATGAATCGTTGCATGATACATATACAAAATCGAGCACGAAAGCGTCTTGAAACGAGAAGATTATAAAAAAGAAAGTTACCAACTAGTTCTAATTCTCATTACACACGCGCGCACGGACAGATACACACACCCATAATTCGAAAATTACAAAGCTTGCGACTCTAGGTCAATATCATTTATACTATTAATTCACTCCCCCATCTTGCCAGTGCAAAGACAATCATACAATTTTTTAAAGATTTTTCAGGGATACATAGCCAACCATTAGCCGCGCGCGCGCGTGTGTGTGTGTGCGCGTATGTGTGTTTTTAAGGTAAAATTTACAATGCCCAACATGTAGCGGTACAGTCCATGCCATGTACAAGAAGCGCAAAAAGAAATTATCCTTATTGTCCTTTGATTACATGCAACTTCCCGATTCGAGATCGTAGTACGGTATTTCCATGTATAACCACTCGTTAATCATGTCATACGAGACATTGTCGGGCCTAGACATCGTAAAAAATAAATGCCACGTGGACATCAAAGAAAAACGTAGACACTAAATTCGAAATTCTACTTTACAGAGAACGGCTTACCAAGAAGATTAAGAACGGCTTATACAAACACCCAACTATTGGAGCTCGAGAAGGAGTTTCACTTCAATAAGTACTTATGTCGACCTAGAAGAATAGAGATAGCGGCATCGCTCGATCTGACTGAAAGGCAGGTGAGGATAATAACGAAACTCCTTGCGTTTCATACATTACGAATGCTTTTGAAGTATCGATGTAAAAGGCTTTTTTTCCAGCATAAGCGAAAAATATTATCTTTGTTCATAAGGTTTCAATTTCATAAACAATGAATGAAGCGAAGATTCAACATTACGTATATTCTATGGCCTTTATAAGATTAATAATACTTTCTATACAAATATGATAATGTATTGCACTAAAATTCAAAATAAATCAAAATTAATTCTTTAATAGCATTTAATCTGTATTTATAAGGAGGTTAAAGTCCCCCAAGTTTTCAGCAACACAATCCTGTACTTAACGCTCGTAGAAGAGATTTACGTAAAGTGACCCTCAGTGTGTAGTGAGCTTTCGTGAGCCTTCGTTCCTTTATGAATAAAAAGATAGTGATAATAATTTTATCAGCGACAAAATAATCTTGGTAAACATTTGTGCCGAGGAATCTGAATTTTGTACACAAGCGCTCGACATGCTTTTCCATCGAATTAAATAAATGGCGCTTATAAATATTGCTTTATTATTAAAGTGTAATTGTACTTGGAATAATATAATTTCGTCAAATATAATAGTACACGTAGCATTTTCATTATTTATGTTGTTGTGAAATTGTTAAATTAAATTAATGAAATTAAAATTATAACTATTATAATATTAATAAAAAATTTTATGCTTATCCATTATTCGCAAAAAAAAAGGAGAAGATATTTCTTCTTCGATTAAAAAAGACATACGACCAGCGGTTTAATGAAAAGTACAAAATATGCACGGAATTAAGGCATGGAATAATTAAACCGAAATAAGCCGATGATTGACTTTGGTTTGTATCCTATTCAAACGTAATTCGACCAATTTACAGGTGAAGGTGTGGTTTCAAAATCGCCGAATGAAACATAAGCGACAGACTCTGAGCAAAGAGGACGGCGACGACAAAGATGGCACATCGTCCGATGGCCTCGAGAAATCAAAGAGCGACAAGCTCCTCGGCATGGACGATGACGAAAAGAAAAGCTGCCACAACTGTGATATATCCGGAGTCGGCGACGTCGGCAGCACGTTATCCGGCGACGTGACCGAACTCACCTCCGTCCGCGGTGGCGGCAACAGCAACAACAATACACCCAGTGCAACCAATAACAACAACAACAATAACAATAACAACAATCACAATAACAACAACAATAACAATAATAACAATAATAACAATAACAATAATAATAATAATAATAATAATAATAATAATAACAACAACGGTGGCAATAATAATGCAAGCTTCAACGCCAACAGTAATGGCGCGAGTAGTGTAGGAAGTACCAACAGCGTCTCCAGCACATTTGATAAAATGATGGTCGACGAGGATTCCCGATCACAGGAGGGCAGCGACACGACCTCGCCCAGCCTTTCATCTAAAAAATCCGATGTCAGGATCAAGGTTGAGTCCGAGCATAAGATTTCGAATTCTACGAAACAGCAACAGCAACAGCAGCAGCAGCAGCAGCAACAGCAGTCGCAGCAGTCGCAGCAGTCGCAATCGCAGCAGCCACAGTCACAGATCAGCATAAGTAAAAAGTCACCGTCGACGAGCTCAAAAGACATGTGCTCGGTAAGCAGTAATGGTGTCCTGCTGGCCCTGCCGGATTCCACGGTCGGCACCCCGAATCTACCGAATCAGCCTGGCTCCTCGACGCGCAGCCTCACACCCTCCTCAACTCCGAGCACCCCGGCCTCGGTCCAGCTACAGGGTAGCCCTCTGAGCGTCCAGCAGGTCGCCCACGTCTACATGCAGCGTCCTCGGAGTTCGCCGTCCTCGAGCGTCGGGGTGTTGCACACACAGAGTACCAATCCAACGGCCGCGAACTCGCCCCATACCCGAGGAATGCCACCAGGAAGCCAAGCTCACTTCCAGCAGGGAGTCTACCACCAGGTCTCAGCTAGCGTCGATTACAGGAACGGCATCCAGGCCAGCCGACAAACCGGGCCGATCGCCAACCAACAAACCGCCTATTGCTCGCGGGAGGCCGCCTACCACCAGCAGAGGATCGCCTACCTCGGGGAGATGCATCCCCAGTACGGGCGCCAAGGTCCGACCGGGCCCAATCGCGTTAATCATCACGCAAGGGCCAGCGCCGCGCGGTCCATGTACAATCATCACTCAATGCAGCAATTTCATCAGCAACACAATCATTACGCCAGCACCGGCGATTATAACGGATACGCGCAACCCGGAACCTACCACGCCTCTTATCACGCTCGGTAAGCAACGGTACATTTGATCGAACCAACTACTTTACATCAAATTGATACAAGTTC